TGCTACAAAAGAAGGATCACCTTGTGTCATTTATGCCATACATGTTTCTAATGATGCAAAGACTTCAAGTGGCATTTTCAGCCAATATCAAGAATTTTAAGATATATTTGAAAAAAAGAATGTAGATATTCTTTCAGAACATCGTTCCTATGACTGCTCAATTGACCTTCAAGAAGGAGGACAATCGCCATTTGGACCAATCTATAGTTTATCACAAAATGAATTGGCTAAACTCATGGAATATATTGAAGAGAATTTGGCCAAGAATTTCATACGCCATTCCAAATCACTAGTAGGGGCTCCAATCTTATTTGTGAAGAAGAAAGATGGATCATTGCAGATGTGTGTTGATTATTGAGGACTCAACAAAATCATCATCAAGAATAAGTATCCTCTACTTTTGATATCTAGACTTCTTGATCAACTGAATTAAGCTAAGATCTATACAAAAATAGATCTACAAGGAGCATACAATCTAGTACATATTAAAGAAGGAGATGAATGGAAGATTACATTTTAAACTAAGAATGGACATTTTGAATACAATGTCATGCCTTTTGGACTTACAAATGCATGAGGAGCTTTTCAACATCTAATGAATGATGTTTTTTGAGAATTTTTAGATGATTTCATTGTTTGTTATTTGGACAACATCTTGATCTATTCTAAGAATATAGATAAATATGAACTTCATATTCATCGTATGTTACAAAAATTAAAAGATGTAGAACTCTATGCCAAGATAGAAAAGTATGTATTCTATATCATTCAAGTCAACTTCTTAGGATACATCATTTCAAATGATGGATGTATGATGGATCCTAAGAAAGTTCAAACAATTATAGATTGGAAGATTTCAAAAACGGTAACAATTGTCTAATGCTTTTTGGACTTTGTCAACTATTATCAGATCTTCATCAAAGACTTCTCTCGAGTTACAGCTCCACTTACACATTTGACTTACAAAAACAAACTTGAGTGGAGTAAAGAAGTTGAAGCATCTTTTGAAACTTTGAAGTTAGCTTTTATTTCTATACCAATCTTGTATCCCATCAACTTTTCTAAGGTATTTTTTATGGAAACAAACGCATCAAACTTTGCTGTGGATGTTATATTATTACAAATAAAAGTAGATGATAAACTTCACCTAATAGCTTTTTATTCCAAAAAATTTTCAGCAATCAAGATTAACTATGAAATCCATGACAAAGAGCTTCTTGCAATCATGGATTCATTTTAAAAATGGCATCATCATCTAGAAGGCACTTCTAAACTAGTCACTGTATATACGGATCATAAGAATCTTGAATACTTCATGTCAACATGTGTTTTAAATTATCGCCAAGCCCGTTGGAGCATGTCCTTATCATGATTTGATTTCAAGATCACATATCAATCCAAAAAACAACAAGATTTGTCAAACGTTTTTATCTTACACCAAAAGAAGGACATGCATCTTTTTATCAACAAAGAACAATTCTCTTGAAGCCAGAGCATTTTCATCTTTGAGTAATAAAATCAACGTTGACTGTTGATTTGATCCTTGTGAAATAAATCTAATCAAATATGACTTATGATCCTCTTGTTTACAATATCAAGAATCCTTCTTCTAAGTCCTAAGATACTTTTAAGTTTGAGTTCAAAAATAACCTACTCTATTTTGAAGGTCAATTATATGTTTCAAAAAGAGAAGCATGATTATGTATTCTTCAAGCATGTCATGACTTTTCAACAGTAGGACATTTTGGATACAATAAGACTTTGGAGCTTATATCTAGAGATTTTTGGTGGCTACAAATGTTGAAGGGTGTGAAAGACTTTGTTCAGTCATGCGACATTTGTTCAAATTCAAAAACTCCTTGTCATCGACCTTATGGACTTCTTCAATCATTACCTATTCTAGAACAATCATGGTCTTTTGTTTCTATAGATTTCATCATGAATCTTCCAATCTTAGGTTCTTATGACTCTATATTTGTGATACTAGATCATTTTACCAAGATGGCACATTTGGTCTAATATATAAAATCTATCACAAGCAAAAAAATAGGAAATGGTCCAAGTCTATCTTTGGCATTCTATCCTCAAACTAATGGACAAACAGAGCATATTAATCAAGTTTTGGAGTAATATTTAAAATGTACCATCAACTATCAATAAGATGATTGGATAACTCTTTTGCCATTGACAGAATTTGCTTACAATAACATGAAATATTCTTCTACAAAACAAACATATTTTTTTGTCAATTATGGTTATCATCCATGACTTGATACTTTTTACTTTTCAAAAGCTGATAATCTTATGGCCGAAGGTTTGGCATATCATTTATGAGAGCTACATACAACAATGAAGGTGTAGTTAAAAGAAGTTCAAGAACAACAAAAGATCAATGTAGATGTCTATCAAAAGGAACAACCACCATTCCACACAGGTGACAAGATATGGTTACTTCATCATGATATCAAGACTACTCGTTCTTTTGATAAGTTGGACTATCGTAGATTTAGACCATTTCCTATTTTTATACAAATCAATCCAATTGCATATTATTTATACCTATTGAAATCAATAAAAATCCATCCAATATTCCGCATATTTCTTTTTAAAGCATACAAGAAAGTGTACATATCAAGAAGAAGACAAGTTCCACCTCTTCCTATAGAACTGGACAATAATGAAGAATTTGAAGTGGAAGAAGTCATAGATTCAAGGCGGTGCTGAAATAAATTAAAATATCTTTTCCATTGGCGTAGATATGATATTAGTTAATGTACATAGGAGCTAGTAAAGAATCTTACAAATGCAGCAAAGGCGGTGGAGGCTTTTCATCAACAATATCCATCAAAATCAAGATGAAGGTTTTCTTTATAAAAGAAACAAGATCTAAGTAAGATAACATTCTACTTTCAATCATTTTTTGTAGCTTCTTTGTAATTGTGATGCGAAGGAGATGGAGAATCAACAACCAGCAAATTCAACTAAAGAGTCTTTATTTGATGACTTACTGGATGAGGCATTGCAATTGTGACAACCTTCAAAACGATACAATTGAGATGAAGATCCTCAAGAATGACATGTTTTTCCTCGAATAGATGGTAAGATACAGCACGTTTTGTATCACGACCTTGGAAGAGACTCTCGATGTTTGGTAATTTTATTAGAGGTAAGAACAACTCATGACGGTGTTCCAAATATTTTATTTGAAGGAAATTATGAAGGCCTCAACAATGATTAGATAACATGGTATTCTTTTTGCCTTGGTATATGACACTATTGATGGTTGGGAGGCCCTATCAACCATCTTTGAAGAGAACAAAGTTCTAAGTATGTGACAAATACAATTTGTCGTATCATATTTTTTCTCAACATATGATGACTACTCCTAGAAGGAGGGGTAATATCACAAATATACGCATGTAAGCCATAAATTATCTATATAAATAAGTAGAAGTAAGTAGAAGTAGATAAAAGTAAGTTAATTCTATAATATCTTCTATGGAAGTTTTTTAGAAGCTTTATAGGTGTTACTTTGACTTTATAAGTGTCTTTAATTGACTTTTTGGGTTAAAAATATAGTCAACAAGTTGGCCATGTGCCATACATATTGTTAGCTTGAAGACCAAGGTAACTATGTGGCCTACATATAGAAAAACTTGCTTTGTAAGTCAAGACATGTATCCTACAAAGTCAACTTATATTGGAGGTCATATAGAATATCATCACATAGCCCCTAGTTAGATAATATATATAGAGACAAAAGTGAAGCCCTCTTCACTCTTGTCCATTCCTTTCTTACTTCTAATCTAGTTTCAAGAGTCCCAAGTTTTCTTGTCTTTTGGTAATAAGCCATTCCAATTTCTTTTCAATATACGTACTTCCTTAATTTTATTTTGTTATTCTTTCTTTGACATGGATTTTATTGATTTATGCATCATCTTTTAGTTCATGTCCTTGACAGTTACCATATAAAATCAAAATCAAAATACATTAAATTTGATTTATCAATAAATATATAGACATATGATATTTTTATAATTATAGGTTTAATATAAATATGAATAAGTATTTTATGAATAAAATATAAGAATTAACAAGATAATGTTATTGTATAAGATGGAGTGAAAAAATAAACACAAAGATCCCTCTTTAATACCCTTAACAGTTGGTTTATGAACTTGAGCATTTAAATATAAGACAACGTTGTATTTCAAAAAATAGTAATTCTACTAATAATATAATTGGTATAAAAATTATGTTTATTATTATTATTATTATTATTATTTTGATTTTATATTTTGCAAAATTTTTTCTCAACTTTTGATAATTAAAGACAGTGTCAACATAATCCAAAAGATATAAAAGGTAGAAAGTTGGTAATCAACTTTCTTTTTCATTATATAACAAAAATTTGGTTTTATTTTTTCTTACAAAAAAATTAAATTTTATACTCTATGGGCACAAGGTTTTTGAATAGTACATTTTAAATTCAGAGTAACCAATTGTATAGAAAATAAATGAAACTTTATATTGTATTGTTTAAATCAATTTCCTTTTACAACCAATTGCACCTGTAGTAATTGCAAATCACTATAGACTCAATGCTAAAAATAATCCATTTTGAAAAAAATAATGACCATTAACTTAGTTTATGTAGATAACTCAATAAAAAATATTCTGAGATTAGTTTTATCAAACATCCACAAATATTTCATGAGCTCATGTAAGGAGATTGGTCATTATGATTGGAATTGATTATAAACTAGAAAAGATATGTGAGAGCCATTCAATACTTAGCATGAAGTCTATTCAAACTTGATGCCAACATGAGATTTTTTAAATTTTATGCTTGAGACCATAATATTAACTATTTCCAATAAAAAAACCGATTTCCATCCATTCAGCAAGTCTATTAAGGCTCCCGGACGAGTAGGTATAGTGGGTTATGTCCATGGGACCCGATCACCCGGCCCAGCCCATCCTGACATGGGAAGTGGATCGGTTGAAGCTGCAACAGTTGCAGCAGGTCGGCGATCAGTGGTCTCTAGGGTTTCATCATGCCCCTGCAGCCATCTCCATTGTTATGGTGGTGTTAACAATGGACAAGACCACCCGCAAGAGCATTGAAGAGCGTTAATTTTGAATTGTGATCGGAGAACCGTCGATTGATTTGATTTCGCAACGGCTTTTATGAGCCATTTCATATCGATACTCGTTTGAAGCTCCGCGTAGGATGAGATTTGTCCTGGTCCCTCTTCGAAGGCACACTACATTGTCAACTTCTAATGCTGCGAGTCTCGTGTCGAGTGTCGCTGGAACAGCGCAATCAGGCTTCGTGTCAGCACCTGAGCATGAGAGTGGAGGTGCTGAGACTACTCGTATAATCACTGGAGCGTTGATTGTGCTGGAGGAATTAGCTAAAAAGACTTGTTGGCATTTGTATTGGTTCCTTGATGGAGTGAGTGAGGCTTGATCGTGACGAGCATCGGTTGAGGATTCTTTTTTGTCCCGAGTTCTAGACCTGGTGCATTTACGTCCTCCGCACTGTAATGTTGTCCTTGTCATGGGAAATAGGTGATGTCAGTCGCAGCTTGCAATTAGTTGATTGTGGCGTTTGCTAGGATCGGCAGGTGATCTTTTGTTGTCTTAAATTTTTGGGCATTCGTTTATTGTTCCTCGACGTTATTGCTGTTTTGGATCTCATTCGAGGAAATTATGATTTCCTTGCCTGTAATTGTGCTGGTGGGACGTCAGTTTTAGTCTTGTGAGCGTGATTGTGGTGAATACCATCTCTATGCCCAGATTGTTCATTCGAAGAGGCAACTGATCTCCGAAATAATCTACAGTTTTTTTTTTTTTTTTTTTTTTTTTTTTTTGTTAATTTTTTTTGGTTTCAATGGATTATCTTGTTGCCTGCGCGGAGAAATTTTCTTGCATCGAAGTTTCAAACTGTGATTCTAGATTGCTCTTTGATCTTGGGTTGATGGATAGATTATTTCCACCTCGCTTCAAGTAAATGTGCACTTGCAGCAGTGCTATAATAAAGTTTCATTTCATGCAGTACCTTTCGAGTGATCTGTATGTACTGTCTTCAGACTCCCGTGAAGTCGCTAGTCCTCGGGAGTATTGGCTTCTCATTATGTGCTAATTTCGTGGGGTTGGAGTCAGTGGATTATGTCCTGTTTTGAGGTGCCAACAGTAAAGTGCTGGCGATCTTGCCAGTGCCTATTTTGCTCCAGTTTCAGTAAGTCAAATATGTGGCTGTAATGCTTGTTGGTTAGCTGATTGGCCGATTTCTGCCTCCATTCCGGGGCTTTATGATTGGTGTAGCAGATTGCTCAAGTTATGAGAATTGCTTTTGAAGCGGCTAGCTACGGAGGGTGTAATTATCTACTTGAAACCGTTGCATCACCAATTTAGAACTAAAACAGAATTGGGACTTCATCGCTGGTAGCAATGGCAGATATTGCTACTCGCTGTCGGGTATGTCTTCTCTTCATACTCAGCTTTCGAAACAATAAAATATGCCTGTGTCTACTGTGTTTCAGTGATGAAATCTAATTACTGTTTATGCCTGAACGTGCTGCGTCCTTGTTGAGTGGGAGTTTAAAGAATGGATTGTCCTCCTAATTATCTAGTAATTTTGGAATGTTGTGGTTGTAGATCCAGTTAAGTTCCTTTCAAATTAAGCATCTCAAGGACACTCTCACACGATTAGGCCTTTCTAAACGAGGGACCAAGCCGGTACGTACCAAATCCGGTGACCAATGTGCTAACAATATGTGATTTATTTCTCCTGAATTTCAATGCGAAGCTTGGCACTGTGAGTAGAGAAAATACTTGATTCTCGTTGTGTTTGAATAGCTCATTATGCCTCATTTCTGCAATGTGAAATGGTTAAAAATTCACGTGGTAGCACTTCGACCTCTGTACTCATCTCTCCACCTTGATGTAAGCAAGTTTGATGGGGTCGTAAGCTGGTGAAAGTCTTTACGTATTCACTAATATTTAATCTTTACTAGTCCATGAACTGTTTACCGGAATTAGAGCTCAAATGAAGGGTAGTTCTGCTCAGATGGAGATTTTTGTAGGATAAATTGCGTGAATGTTTTGTGAGAGGGTTATCATCTCAGAACATCGAATCGCATTATGTTTTCCAATTGTGAAGATGTTGATGGACAAGATCATGGGTTTGATTAACCCTGCAGAGAAGCAACCAACTAAAGGTGGGTAGTTATCTGGACCAGTGATTAGTTTCTGTGCCGCTGTAATGAGTGCGTAATCGACGTTCAGTGAAATTCACAGCATCATTTGATTTTTCATGAAGTCATGATTTTGTTTCTATGAAGTAGGTGATGACGATGACTTGCGAACTTGAGGTAGTGATAGGAATATTGAATTTGGTACGAGATTGTCGGTAACTGAACCCGAATATGATGTTAATTTTACAGGCTTGAAATACAGCAAGCAAATTGTTTCAAGGGAAGAAGCCATTGCTATCATCGAAGAGGAATACAGGTGCGTGCTCCTCTGCCTGTTTATCCCTCTCTACCTATTGGATGGATATCCTTGATTTATAATGGGCCGTTGGGGAGCCTGTCGTGCGTACAAATATTAATAGCGTAGTATTTGAACGAAAAGATGTTACGAATGGAACATGCTGGTACCTATAATCAGGAAACAGATGTCTAGAAACTCCCCGAATCTTTGGAAATAAACCCCATTCATAAGGTTGACTATGATTTTCATATCGTTGTGCTCACGGCTGAGATGTGAGTTCTGACAGGAAGCTTAGACATTCTAGAAGCGAATCTAAGCGTAAAGCTGCTAAGTCTGGCTTCGGCAGCAAGCATCCATCAGCAGGACTTGAAGAGCTTACATGTGTGGAAGAGGCTAAAACTCGGTGTCCTTGTGGGAACAACACAGAGACTGGAACAATGATCCAGGTTTTCCTTCACTTTTTCTTTAAATTGGTCTCTCTATTTCTGATTTGTGTTTTTGCTGAACTTAACTCCTCTGATGTATAGCACTGCAACGTCTTAGTAAAGTTGTAGCATTGGTAGTTGATGAAACTTATTTTGATATCTACTAATGTATTTGTGTCACCATCCTTCTAATTAGATATTTTCTTCTTATTCTGTAGACTTCAGTCTTATTGCATTTAATGCTATTTTTGCAGTGTGTTAATCTTAAATGTCGGGTTTGGCAACACATGAGTTGTGTTGTCATTCCTGAAAAGTCAGGAGATGGAACTCAGACAGGAATTCCTTCAAACTTTTACTGCGAACTGTGCCGCATATCGCGTAGCGATCCGTAAGTTCTGCTTAGATGCGTATTTTTTGGACGTAGAACTCTTCATACTCATGGTCAAATGGCCCTGTATTTTGTTGATAAAGCTGCTATACGTAACTAGGTTTCTTGGTCTGGACAGCTTCTGCGAAGCACAGTTACAGACGCTAATGCCTTCAAAGCTGATTCCTTCTGGAGCCAATACAGAAGGGTATGTTTCACATGTAAATGTATATTTGGGTTTTTCTGTGAAATCTTCAGTTTACTTTGATGCAGGACATCATGCATGTCATAGAGTTTTTATACCATATTTTCATGGTGATTTACTTCCTTATATAGTAGTCATTTTTGTTTCAATGGAACCACTGGTTGTAGTTCTTTGTGTCCTCTGGTTGATTTATAAACGGACCTTTATTAACCATTTTATGTTTGGTTGTTATCTTTCTAGAAATGCATATCCTGAAATGACTTGTTGTGGTTGGTACTTATGATTTGCAGATCTAATATTGTACAGACGTTAGAGAAATCATTTTATTTAAGTCGATCTGACCGAGAACTTCTCCAAAAACCAAATCATGATCTGCAGGTATTTCACTTAGATTTTCTCCTTCAGAGTGCTGGTTTATGGACTGCTATGTGTATTTGACTTCCCCACTTCTGTTCCTTCAAGCACCTACGATTGCTTCGAAGTTAGGAATGCCTTGGGGTTGTTGAGCATTCAAGCATTCCTTTGCTCTTGAGGTCTTAGTTGTCCGATCTCCTAACGTCCTTATAGAATATTGTGTTTTGAATTATTTATACAATAGATGCTAAGCCATTAGAGTACACCAGTCGCATAGTTGTGATCTTTTGTTTTGATTTTAGCAGAAGCATGACCTAAATTTTCAGATGTACTCGTTGACAATCTCGTGAACATTTCATTTCATGTTCAAAATTATGTACCCATCGAGCTTGATCATTTTTCTTTCAGGTCTGGTGTGTACTCTTGAGTGATAATGTCTCCTTTCGCATGCACTGGCCTTCCTTTGCTGATTTACGAGTAAATGGTACCTTACATCCCTTTGCCTTCTTTTGTTCCAATTACCTCCTGTAGCATTCGAAGGCCGAGTATTAGGCCATGCATTCAACAAATCAAATTATTCTTGTATGCACGTCCTCTGTTTACAGTGGCCCTCGGCAATCTAGAGTAAGCAGGTTTACATCTAGCCGATTTGTATCACATGATGAAATAATTATCTCCTTTAAGATCTTGTATTAAATAGTCCAGTCTTCCTTTCAAGCAAGGACGCGTAATAATGATATGCTTCCACCAAGTCGAGAGTTTTGTGAATATTTTTAAGTGCTTGTCCCTCTGGAGCAAATTGCAGAAACTGTGTTTCTTGCATGTCGTGGATTATTTCTATCAATTATTTGGTGACTTATTTTTCGTTATGACAGGAATAGGCGTGCGTGTTACTAATCGCACTGGCCAGCAACTCCTAGGAGCAAATGGTCGGGACGAGGGAACTAGTGTAAGTGATTGAGGATTTATTGAAGTTGTGTTCACTCTGGTTTTCTCACATCTTAACTTTTAGACCTACAGTTTGAGCTTTATCTATGCCAATGTGGATACTGATATTAAGTGAATTATTTCTTACAGGATTTAACTCTTCTGCGTTTCAGGTCACTGTGTGTGCTAGGGAGGGGCTTAACAGGCTGAATATTTCAACTTATGATGCCCGCTCCTTTTGTTTAGGTGTGCGAATTATCCGCCGCCTTTCTCTGGAGCAGGTGTGCGCTGCAAGTATCTTTTATGTTAATACTAATGCACAAACAGAGTATATGATCTAATCACTAGCTGCCTGGCTAAGTTGTATAATTACTAATTTTATTCTCTGATTGTCTTTGTGGGGTTTTCTGGCCTTTAGATTATGGAATCGATTCCGAATGAGAAGGATGGGGAGAAGCTAGAAGAAGCAATGGCTCGAGTTCGGCGTTGCATCAATGGAGGGGGTAGTCAAGGGTTGGGGGCCGATGATGACAGTGACAGTGATTTGGAAGTTGTGGCAGATTTTATTACTGTCAACCTACGATGCCCGGTGAGAGGCGTTTTATTATGTGATCCATCTCTAACGCTACTCTCGTTTGCTACATTATTCTCCCATGATAGTGTTCTCTTGTTCCATCTGTTGACTTTGAGCTTTCGCTGTACTGGTAAACTTCATCTAAAGTCGGAAATCAGCCGGATTGAAGTTTGAGGTAGCATTCAGTTCTGAAACGCAGTAGCACTGCTGTGTTTGGATTTGCGATACACAGATGAGTGGTTCTCGTATTAAGGTTGCCGGCCGTTTTAAACCATGCCTTCACATGGGCTGCTTCGATCTTGATACCTTTGTGGAACTCAACCAGCAAGCACGGAAGGTATTTTCTACGTATCATTATGTATATGCCAATTTAAGGTACTGCTTAGTAGTTTTTTTAATATATCAGATTACTCTGTGTATTTTCTGTGTTTAGTAGCTCGAACTGTGAGGGTGAGTTGAATTACCTGCGTACTAATATTTTCCTGCGGAAATTGTGGCTTTTGCAGTGGCAATGTCCAATTTGTCTGAAGAACTATTGCATAGATAACCTGATAATTGACCCTTTTTTTAATCGGATTACTAATGCGGTATGATTCAAGGTCCACTGTACTGCAAACTGTATATTCCGTATCTTGTGCTCTTTTTCCTGTCTCTGGGAGTTAGAAAATGCAAGTGATATTTGTGTAAATATTTTTGTCCTTATTTACACACCTACTAGAAGGATATTGTTGTTATTTTCTGAGACGAAATCGTGACGTAGGTTGTGTAGTATTACTGTCATCTGCTCTTCCGCTTACGTTTGTAAAAATTCTACCAGGTAAATTGTTTGCATGAGGACATTGCTGCAGTGGAGCTCAAGTCTGATGGTTTTTGGCGGCCCAAACTAGAAGGCAGAGTCAGAAGTAGAGAACCATGGCGTCCGTCTCCAGTCGTAACAAACGTTGTGAATGAAACCACATCTGTACCTGTTTTATTTTCTGAGAATGTCAGAACAGAAGAAAAGTTGTCTTCCCATGACAACGGCTCTTCGTGCTTCAATCGAAATCCTTGTGGCGTTTTGGTGCTGCATTGCACTGAGAATTTGAATGGTGGTCATAGTCAAGAAGTTATCAACGTTTCTAGACTTTCAAGAAGTAATAGTATCACAGACGGCAATCTTAGAGGAGATGAGGATGAACACAGTGCAAACCAAGATCGAGGTGCTGTTTCTACTGTTGACGGTGACAATGTTGGGTTGTCTTCAAGATCTCCGCAGCCAACTAGCAAAACGCTGCAAACTTGTGCTGATCTTGCAAATGGAGCTCAAGTAATTGTACTCAGCGATAGTGAGGATGAAGGAGAAGACGAAGAGACTATTGTTGTGTCATCTTGTGCATCAATTTATGTGGAATCCAACGTTGTTGGCAATTGGAGAATGCGTTCCAGGAAGAGCTATCAAACAAATGGTGATTCATCAGGGCTCGCTGTTGGTCTAGAATATGCCGATGTCACTCCTGCCAGCCACTCAGTTTGTCATCCATCTGATCCTGCGACGAGCAGGAGAATTGACATTGTTATCAATGAACAGATGACTGACGACAGTGGATTAGGCTTGCATTTAGACAGCGGCAGCTTAAGCGCAGTACCCGCAGAGATAGCTAGAAACGGGGAGTGTGGTGTCCATGAAAGTCAAACAGAGGTGGTAAATGTGCTGCAGGGTCAGCCTGTGCGGCAAACACCGGTTCGATTTGTAGCTGGTTGTGGGTCTTCGTTTAGACCTCTTGACAAAGACGATACGACGTCACCATCGGGATGGGAAAGCCTTTGTCTCCCTAATGGAGCCACAGACACAGATGGCGGTAGTATGGATAATGAGGGAACTGGTTTGCCTCTGCAAAAGTTTTTGCCATCCCAACCAGTTCGAGTTGAGGTATTGGTGGCGGAAAAGAACCATGCATTAGAAGAAGCCACGCACAGGACTTTGTTGCTGCAGCTAACCTGTACCTCTTGAAACGGTAAACCAATTCATTTACTCTGCATTGTACAGTGATAGCATTTGTTTGCAAACCTATGCATCCATTTTGTGCATTAATGCGATATCCTCTAGACTTTTATATGTGATTATTAAGGCATTTCACCACATTTTTAATGGCAACCATCATGCATAGAATCAGTGACTAACAGTATTGCAGCATCAAGTAAATTTACAAGAACCTTTCCTCCAAACTGATGAAATTTACCACCTTTGGTGTTCCCTTATCCTGGGCGGAGGAAACTTAGCGGCTTAGGTACTCAGCTGATACTTGGTGCGGGGTGAACAAATAGATCCAAATGGTTCCATGTACAGAATACTCAGACTACAAGCACATCTTCAGTTGATACATGCACACCCCATATTGCTAAATACTGTCCCAAAAAAAAATAGAGCCCTTTGATTTATTTGATTCGTTGGTTGCACACCTTAAGTTGATACATGCTTATCTATAAAAAATCGAGACCTTTGATCTATTTGATTTGTTGGTTGGTTGTTTTTGTGTGGACTTTGACACTTCCTACAATTGAGAGGAGTTAAGAGGGGTGCAATGCCTCCTTGCAGCAGTCTTGTTGCTTTGTTGCTTGTTGAGTGAGTGGTGTTAAGAAAAATTTGAATTTGAACTTTGTTCTGTTCATTGTTATTTGCCAATGTCCTATATCATTGCATGTTGTGCTTGCACCATAGTATTTTTTGCTAGAATGCATGTCTTTTGCACAATGACTGTAAATACGACACATATGCTAGGTGAATTGTATTCTTGCAAGAGAAATTCTTCTAATATATGCATATACATCCACTTTCACATACAATCTCTTCTTCAAATAATTATTTTAGGTGATCTCATGCCACATGACTAATCTCTAAGTTTCTGCTATTGTCCTTTATATTTAGTAGTGTCAAGTTAATCCTCAAGTAGCCTAAAAAATCTCAAAATAAGTAATCATCAATGTTAGCATTGCATTTGAATTTGAATTTTGTTCTCACTTTTGTCTCACTTCTCTTCTTTGCTTTCTTCTTTTCTTTCTTACTTTTGCTCTCTACCTCTCTTTTATAATAAACTTTCTTCTACTAGATTCAAAATAGATACACAATTCATGGAAAGAGTTCATCAAAGACATCTAAACCTATTTAACAAATTGCAACTATGCCATAGTAAGTAAGCACTTAAAATAAGGTTGTTGTGTGTAGTATTCTTGGGACCACAACAGTGGCTATAAAAGTACAATTTTTAAGCCTTTACAAAAGCAGGAGAAATTAACTCAAAAAAATAATTTTTATTTGAGATTGTTACTTAATTGGACAAAAGAGAAGATTGCTAGTACTTAAAGGTTAATAATCTTTAGCACAACCATGAAATATCATCTGTTCCTTCTAAGCATGTTGCGCATAGAAAGCTAACAATAATTGAGAGTGCATGTATCGATAATTTGTCACTTATTAATATTTGTTTGTGTAAGATCTTGATGGTAATATACTAGCATGATAGAAAATTTGCCAATGTGCAAAAAAAACCTTCTACAATATCCTTCAAAGGTTTTTCAAGATATTTCTTCATTGACATACATTACTCAAAGTCTTATTTGATAATTTTACTTACCAAAGATGCCAAATAGCACACAAAATAACGATCATAGAATAAAGACTCATTATTTATTTATTTATTTATTTATTTTTATCTTATTTCAATCAACCTTCTTTACATAAATCAAAAAATGATGTTGATTAAAGCTTCTTATAAGATCAACAAATATTATATGTTGCTCCTATATGTTGCTAGGTGTAAAAATTTTAACAACTCTTTTATGGTGGTGTTTATTTTCATGGCCTTGGAAGAAGTTTGATTTTATCAAATTGTACTTGAATGATTCAAATAATTATTTATTGAGGTACTTTCACCTAACATCTTTGTTGTAGATTGTAAATTTATCTTATTCAATGCAATGAAGGAGATATTTCTATTTGCACCTATTCTTCTACGTTTTTAGCATATTAATATGAATACTATAAAAAATTACAAACAAGACTTTATAAATGAGTAATATCAATATTTTTTTGTAAAATTGACATTTAATAGTATTTATGCCATTCAAAAAAGAATTTAAAGCATAATGGAGTACTTTTGTAGAAATCTAAAAGGTCAAATTTTCCTAAACAATAATATATAATTATATATTGATTGATGCATAGAAAGAAACATTCCTTCTGCCTTTGATAAACAAGATTTTTTACTTTGGCAACTTTGTGACCTCCTCAACAAAGGGCATGTACCACACAATCAAGCAATATCTTAGATCAAGCAAGTTTGTTTTGTTTGGCATATGCCAACACATAGAGCTTTGCATTAAGAACATATACAAAGAGTATGTGGTCTAATTCTTTTGTGAAAAGTTGTATATTTAAATATTTTCTAATTCAGTTCCTTACAATAAGATCTTTTAAGATGCTAAATTTTCATGATGTGTTGAAAAAGATCTAAAAATAAGTTAAACTTGTACATTTCAATGTTGTGAATAATATTAAATCCTATAAAGGAATCTTTACTACAACACTTAAACTACCAAACTTATATCAGATTTGAACCATGCTATGTGAACAATAGTGCTTCAACTTCAACAACTTTGAGTGCCATTTGCATCTATTAAAGCCAACAATAGTTCCTTTTCATATTGAGAATACATTTAGTTTTTATTTTTGGCATATTAAAACAAGAATTTACAATCATTAGTAGTCTTTTATCACATCAACAAATATTTGTGCTTGTAGAACTCCAAATTATATTATAGCAATACCAATAGCTTATTGATAAATTACAAATGGTATAAACAAAGAGGCATTTGCTACAAAAAATTATATCAATGACAAGAATACAATGAAGGTAAATAAATAAGTAAGAAGTTTTTTAAAAAAAGATGACAAAAAATTAAATATATATATATACATTAAAAAAAAATTGAAATAGCTATTGCTAAAAGAGAAAAAAAATTAGAGATCCTTAAAACTAAACCAAAAGTAAGAAAGGAATCGACAAGAGTGAAGAAGGCCTCATTCTTACATTTATATCTATGAAGCCTCTAAGAAGCTTTTCTATAAGATATTATTAATTTTTTTTACTTTAAACTACTTCTATCTACTCATATTATATAGATCATTATTTGAATAAACATATATACATGTAATATTATTCCTCTTTCTAAAGACAAGTTCTATGAGGAGTAGTAATCACATGTTGAAGAAGTCCAAGATGCAACAAGTTGTAGTTACCACATATTTTGATCTTTATTTCTTTTGAAGTTAGTTGATAGGTTTTTTTAGCCATCAATAATGTTTCATTTCACGATAGAAAGACCATCTTGTTGTTTGATCATTTTTGAGGCCTTTATAACTTCTCTCAAACAAAACATTTGTAATACCATCAAGAGTCATTCTTAATTCTAATAAAATCATCAAATGTTAAGAATCTTTTTCAAAGTTATGATATCAAATTTATTATAGCTTGCCATCTGTTCAAAAAAGAATATGTTGTTCTTAAAGGTCTTAATTCCTATTATGTTGCCTTGAAAGTTATAACAATTATAATATCTTGTCTAGTAATTCAACAAGCAATAGCTCTTAAGTTGAATATGTTGGTTGTCAGTTCTCTATTTTGTTAGCACCACAAATACAAAAAAAAATATAATGAAGGATAGATGAAAAAATAAAATCTTCATTGAACATCCTTTCTTTTATAGCAAGGAGTTGTGGGACTCTTCATCTTGATTTTGATGAATACTATTGATAAAAAAGCGTCAACCTTCTCTACTATATTTGTGAAATTCCTTACTAGCTCATATGTGCATTCACTAATATTATATCCATAGTAATAAATAAGATATTTCATGCTAAAATGGCTTTATTTTAAGTCTAAGTCTTTTTCCACCTTAAAATTTTGATTATTATCTACATTAATAGGAAGAAGTGGCATTTATCTTCTTCTTGAAATATTAAATATCTTAAATAATTTAAAAAAAGATATGAAATATAAGATGAAACTTTATAGATTTCAATAGGTGTAATTGATATACAGCTTGATTAATTTATTCACTAATAAAAAATGGTCCAAGTCTACAATAATCCAACTTGTCACAAAAGCAAATAATCTTAATAATGCAAAAAAATAACCACATCTTAGTGCAAACTTAGAATTAAAGGTATTCTTTATAATAGGCATTCAAATTGATTTTTTGTTATTCTTAAGCTTCTTTTAATTATACCTTTATTATTGTATGTAGTTCTAATAAATAATTTATCAAATCTTTTGCGACATAATTTTCAGCTTTTGAAACATCATAAGTATTAAATTATGGATAATAACTATAATTAGTAAAAAATATTAAATAGAAGAATATATTGTATTATTATTGGAAAAATTTATGAATAAAGAAACGTTATTCAATCATCTTATTAGTAATTCATAATAGACCTCAAATACTACTTCAATACTTGATTTATCTATTTTATTTGTATATTGTGACAAGTTTAAAAAAATACGTAATTATGCTTCATTTTATAGAATCAATAAACATCTCTTGAAATAAAATAGATTATTTTTAAATTCAAACTTAAAAGTATCATGAGACTTAAAAGAATTATTTTTAATATTATAAATAAGAAAATCAGAAAAAATATTCAATTGAAATTGGTTAAAAAAGTTTTAATCAACAATCAATGTTGATTTCATTGCTCAAAGATGAAAATGCTTTGGCTTCAAAAAAATTATTTTTTTGTTGATCAAAAGCTATATTTTATTTTATTTTACTATACTTTATTTTTTGATATAAGATAAGAATATTTAAAAAGAGCATTTAAAAAAACCTAATTATTTTTTTGATCAATAAATATTCTTAAAATTAAATCTAGATACAGACATTTTCCAATGGCCTTGGAAATGATTTATAATACATGTTGATATGAAATACTTGACATTCTTATTATTTATATGAATAGTTATTGAATTTAAAAAAATCTCTAAATAATGGTGTCATTTTTTAAATAAATTTATAATTTCAAAAAGTTCTTTATTATGAATCTTGTAATTAATCTTTGCAATTGAAAATTTTCTTAAATAAAAGCAACAAGGTAGACTTTGTCATCTATTCCTATTTTTAACAATACTACATCAAAAGCAAAATTTGATGCTTTTGTATCCATAAAAAAATATCTTAAAAAATCAATGCAATACAAAATTAGTGTAAAAATATTTTTTTTTTAATACTGATTTTTTCCTTAAATAGAGTGGATTATTCCTCTTTGTAGAAATTTATATTTAATATTAGAGGTTGCGGATTACTTTCATCTAATTTGTCTTGTGGATTTATTAAGTTGTTTAAAATAGAAGAAAAAATCATGAATGCTACACTTGGTAGAAGTAAGAATAGATTTGCAACTATTATAGATCTTCACAAACTTTTTAATATTCTTAGAGTAGAAATTTTAT